GGTTGCAGGGCAACCTGTGAAAGAGATTCTGCTGCTCTGTTGTGTGGGTCCAAGAATTGTTTAAACTCATCTTGTCAGGCTTGGCGACAAGTGCCTTCACCCAATAAGGCCATCTCACTTACCCCAAATCAATCCAACATTTAAAAATAAAAAGTCCAAACTAGAGGAAGGAAAACAAATGTCACTGCATGGTGAAGGCAATTAAAAACAAAACAAAATAAAACACAACAACATCTATTAGAAGGCTGAAGAGATGGCCAGCAGTTAAGAGAACTGGCTGCTCTTCCAGAGGACCCGGGTTCCAAGTCCTGACCCCCCACACAGTGGCTCACAACAGTCTGTAATTCCAGTCCCGAGGAATCTGATGTCCTCTTCTGGCTTCTGCAGGTATTGCACACATGTGGTACATAGATGTAAATGCAGCCCAAACACCCATACAATTAAAATACAAATAAATAAATCTCTCTAGGTCCAATAAAATAATTCATACACTAGAAAAGCATCATCAGGGAAATAATTCTATTGATGAATCTTAAAAGTACTTGAATAAAATTAAATTCATTTGTACACTGCATTGCATTTCTACATTCGAAACATTGTTCTACTTACAATGGAAAGACAATGTCCTGGACAGCTTCAAAGTGACAAGTTGCAATGAGAGTCTCTTTGAAGTCGGTGAAGTTAACACGATAGATGTGTGATTCCTCTGTTCCTACAAAGAACTGGTGCCCTTCTCCCCGGCATGTGATAGAAGAGATACCACCTTGCAGCTGAATTTTTCTTTGGAGAGAAGCACAAAGGCAAAATAGAGTCACTCAACCAGCAAGCATTTGCTTATCTGATTGCAGGGGACACAAATGAGACATGTGGTATGGGACAGGCCCTCAAGGAAGTGACACAGCTGGGAAGGCCTCAGATATTTGCAATGTTGCTCATTCAGGATCAGGAGGGAAGGGGTTGTCAGTATAGGTTAAAACCATCAGAGAAGGTCTATCAGGGAGGTGTGGTCTGAAATGGTTTGTACAAAGTGGGCTAGCACATGGGGACAAATGCCCAGGGCAACTCATTTCTGAAAGACTACCTGAAAAATTAAGAGGAGACATCATATTCCTGGTATCTTGTCTCAGTGTAGTGTACAACCAAGTTATGGGCTTATCAAAAGGGCGGTGTGCCTCTGGGTCACAGTGATTGGCTTTAGTTTGGTTTGATGTGAACTTTTTCATGGGAAACAAATCACTAGCCCTTATGATTCAGCTACACATTTAATAGCAAGATGAAATTCTTTAACCAGTATGATTCTCTTTTAAACAGGACCTCACTGGCTAACCCTGAATGGCTTGAAACTCTGTGTAGAACAGGTTGGCCTGGAACTCACAGAGATCCTCCTGCCTCTGCCTCCTGAGTGCTGGGATTAAAGGTGTGAGCCACAACACCTGGCAAATATGGTTCTTCCAATATCATTTAGTTGTTGGATTTAAGCAAAATTCTCTCTAGTACGGTGGTTTTCGACCTTCCTAATGCTTCAACCCTTTAACACAGTTCCTCATGTTGTTGTAACATGAAAAATAAAAAGACCCAGAGACAGATACTAGGGTTCAAGCTGAAGATCAGGGAAGCAAAGTAGCTGGCCACTACCTGAAGTAGTTCTTACCACCACCTCAGGCTGAAGGGCCTGATCCTGCTTCCTTTTCTCAGTGTGGCTGGAGAATCCTGAGGCTTCAATGTCTTCCTATCCTCAAGGAGGCTGGAGAATGAATGCCTGATACTGAGACCTTGAACCCATCTTATACACTTCTCTAATTCTGGGGTTAAAGGTGTGTGATCCCAGGTGCTGAGATCATCTTTGTGTGAGCTGTTTCTCTCTTTAGGACTGGATCAATATTGTATAAATCTAGGTGGCCCTGGACTCACAGAGATCCGTCTACCTCTTAATCCCGAGTCCTAGGATTAAAGGTGTGTACCACCACTTCCTAGCCTCTGACTGCTGGGATTAAAGGTGTATGCCTGGCTTCTATGGGTTGTGGCTGACTTTGCTTTCTGAATCCTCAGGCAAGCTTTAATAAATCACAAATAATATATCATTACATGTTGTGGGGACCTCAATCATAAAATTATTGAGTTGCTTCTTCATGACTATAATTTTGCTACTATTATGAATCACAATGTAAATATTTGATATGCATATGGTCTTAGGCAACACTCATGTTGAAAACTGATGTTCAAGTGGGTCTCTATCTACCCCAATTCTGTGGGTCCAGAACTCACTTGATGGGTTTGTAGCTGGGGCTTTTGCAGAAGACCAGCAGGCCAGCTCCAGAACCGACCAACAAACCACCCATCTTCAGGCACTTGATAGCTGTCACTCCCTAGGGGGGAGAAACAGTGCTATAAAAGGACCAAAGCATTTTGTCATTAAAAATCAATGCAACACCTGACACAAGAGAGCATGGTGGAGGCCACATCTAGTCTGCACATATTGTTTGATGAAGATCACAATGTATCTCCAGGTTGGCAAACAGCATTCAATTCCAACCACGGGTTGATGTCTCAGGAGGTAGCCTTCCTGGTCCTGCAAGAAGTAGGAAAGCTTTGCCATCCTTCCTCTCTAAGATCACCTGTGCCTTTGAACGTACTGAATAGTAATGCTCATCAGTCCATCCACTCAAATTCAGTTACAGCAGGAGGCATAAGCACGGCCTCAGCAATCTAGTTCTTCAGTTGCCGTGGTTCCCACTAGAACCTAATTCATATAAATGCATGGTCCTGAAATATTTTAGTTTGCTGAGAGAAAAAGTTTTAAAAGATTTTAGTTCACAGAGAGAAAAAGTTTCCCACAGGCCTTGGCCCATTACAAGGTAGTTGGCCCCAACCCTGGGCACATCCTATGGTTTAGACGGGGGCAATCGCCAAGACAATCCTCTTTGGGTCACACCTGGCTGGCCAACATACAATCAAGGGCTTTCCAGGGTATGTTCTGTGGTTTTTCCTTTGTAGAAAAGCAGGTCACACCTGGGTGACCACTCTAACATGAGATCATACTTTGTAATCAATCACTTTGTGCCCCTTGCCTGTATGCTGATCTGCGTTTTTTTCCTATATAAGGAGCCTGTCACCCTTGCTGGGATGTGCAGCTTTCCCGATATTGCTGACACCCGAATGCGCATTCGTTCAATAAACCCTCTTGCTTTTGCAGCTCTTGGTCTGGTTTCTGAGTCTTGGGGGCTCCTCGGGATCCTGAGGCCCTTAGGGGTCTGGGGGTCTTTCAGTCCAAATTGACACCCAAAGACAGCATGGGAGATTTCTTAGTGACTACATTTTCTGAGCTAAGGCATATGGTATACAGTCTTACCAATAGTTGAAAACACATTTAAGATTCCAGACAGTCTTCAAATATTTGGAGGAATGATGGACAGTTCATAGTATGCTCCATAAGGTTCTAATTTAAAATGTGCATGATTGCCATAGTTTGAGTGTGCAGCCCTCCCCACCTTCTACCTCCCCCCCCAGCAAGTATTCATGATGGGACCTACATCCCAATGCAACAGTGTTGGGAAGTAGAGCCTAAAGCAGAATGAAGACTTTGAGCTCTCTGGGACTTCCCTGGGACTCCAGCACCACATTGGCCCTGCTGAGACAGCTAGAGTCATGGATTGAAGAACTACCAGATCCCTGGCCTCTCTATCAGGAAATAGCCATTGTTGAACTACTCAGACCACAGCCTGTAAGTCACACAAATAAATCCCCTTTATATATTTATGTTCAGTCTATTGGTTCTGTTGCTTTAGAGAACTCTGACTAATACAACCTCTTTCCTGGATTGAGTCTTACATGTTGTATTAAAAATATCATTACTAACCTCTAGGTCTTGCTATTTTTTTCCTAAATTAGCTCTTGTAAGTTATATGTTTTATATTTAGCTCTGTGATCCATTTTGAGCTCATCTGTAAAGGGTTAAGTTCGGTGTCTGGATTGTTGTGAGGGTTTGGGGTGCATGTTTTGGACATATGGGTGTCCACTTGTACAAGAATTGCCTTTTGTCTACCAGATGTCTTTATGCCTCTGTCAGATAATGTTAAGAATATTCATGCAGGTCTATTTCTGAGCTGATTTGTCTGCTTTTTTCATTAAAACCACACTGTCTTATTACTGTAGACTTACTGTAAGCTTTGGAATCAGGCCCTCTAGCTCCTCCAACTTAGCTCATCGGTGCTATGCTGGCTGCTATGGGACTTTTGTTGCTTTTTATCACTGTTAGAATCAGTTTCTCAGCATCTATAATTAACCCTGGGTTTAGGTCACGATTACATTAAATGTGCAAATCCAATCGGAAGAACTGGCTTTGTGTGTGTGTGTGTGTGTGTGTGTGTGTGTGTGTGTGTGTGTGTGTGTGTGTGTTGCTTTGTTGTTGCTTGTTTGGTTTTGCTTTGCTTTGTTTTTGAGAAAGGCTCTCATGTAGCTCAGGCTGGTCTTGCACTCACAATATAGCCATGGATAACTGAACTACTGATCGTTCTGCTACCACCTTCCAAGTGCTGGGAGCCCAGGCATGAGCCCACCAGTGCAAGAACTAACATTTAAACAATAGAGAGTTTCCCTACCTATAAACACAAAATATTTCTCTATTATTTCTTCTCTTATTACTTCCATTTGCTTTGTGGTTTTTCTCATTGAAACCTTGTAAAACACCCTGTTGTAATTATTACTGTTATCATCATCATCATGGCCAACTTCTTCCAATGTACTGTATGTCTATCTAATAGGCTGATTGTAAACCATGATAATCCTTTGCTTCTCTCTTCAGAAAACGCTTAAGTAGATTTTTAAAATGAGTAACTGCCTAAGGTCCTTTGATTTTTCAAGCAAAGCATCCTGAGTACCATATCTTATCTTTTCATCCCTCAAGCAGTCTTTTCTTTCCAGCCACGTGAGAGCTGAGCTGGAATTACTGCTGTGTGAAGCGAACCATCAGTCTTGAAAGGATCAGCAATGCAGAAATTGGTAGGAGGCTTAAACGCTAGCAGTTTGAGGGGTGCTACCACCCCAGCATCTGCTTTGTAGAGGAACTTAGTTTCCAAGTACTGTTCATGCATAAACAAACAACAACAACAACACAAACAACCAAACAACCAAACAGAAACTATGCCAATCAGTTGCTTCCAAGTAGTGTCGTCAGATGGCCTTTGGAGGCCTAGCAGGCCTTGGAACAGGAGGGGCTCTAGGCTATGATTCCCTTTTCTCTGATTGGCCTTGTTTTATCTGCATAGTATTAGAATCGGTCCCTCCTAAATAATTTTAAAAGATCGATCTAGGCCATGCTTTGATCTCCTATAGAATTATTTCTGAATATTCCTCTATGTGTATTATCTGTATCATGGCTTCTTCCCATTTTTTTGTGGATTTCTTTAAAAGCTTGAATATTAAATGATGATATGATTAAGGAAACTGACATTTCCCCAAGAGGACTGCATAGTATTTCAGTTTCTTGAGAATGTCTGTTAAGTGGGAAAGTAGCTGTGCTTCCATAGGAACCATCTGTTCTGATATCAGAAATGAGACAGGCAGGTGCAGGACTCGGCACACAAACTTTCCAACTCCAACTGTTTAGTGGAAACAGCCCTTGCAACTTCCTGGGCACAGGAGAGATAGCTGTCTAAAGTCATCATTCAGTGGTGAGTCTTTTATTTTTGTTTCAATGTTAGCATTGCTTACTGATGTTTTGATGAGAGTTGTTGGGAATCCTGGAACTATGCTCTGTTGATGATTTCTTGGTCCCAAGAAAGACACAGCATCACTGAGGCTAAAATCTAGGATCTAAACTGGGTATTGGTGGCGAACGCCTTTAATCCCAGCACTTGGGAGGCAGAGGCAGGCGGATCTCTGTGAGTTCGAGGCCAGCCTGGTCTACAGAGTGAGTTCCAGGACAACCTCCAAAGCTACAGAGAAACCCTGTCT